CCCCCCGGGAGGATGGACGGGCCGGCATGCCGTGAGCCGCGCGGGGCTGGGCCCGCCGCTGGGAAGGGTCCTGGGGGTCCTGCCGGCGCTGGGGTGAAAGTTGTCGTGAAGCCTGCAGGGGATCTTTCGTTCTGCGCCCACGAGATGTTTTGGTGTCGAGCCCGACGGAGGGAGCAGGTAACCTGAGACTTCAGTTCTGCTTTTGCTCTCGGGCTGCAGGTTTTTTTCCTCCTCCCGTTGATTTTGAACTTGACCAAAAGAGCCCATGGCCACACACAGGGATTAAGTCGTGCACTGGCTGCTGAACATCTTGCTGGGCGTTTTGCTCATCCCAGCCCCGAAAAGAAAGTTCTCTCCCTCCCTCCCTCTTGTAATTTTGGTCGGTTACTATTCAGGGTTAGGTATGCAGATGTTCATTGTTCCGGTGCCCTTGTTGATGAGGTGGGCCCGGGAAGCATTTTGCCTTCTTTTCGAGCAGCAATCGCAGTGCCTTTAGCCATCTGCAGGGATGAGGATGGGTTGATAGTAGAATGTAAATACTGTATAGGCGTTCAATATTTATCATCTGCTCATCCTGTTTTCTTGAGTATGTGCGCGTGTTTTTATCTGAAAGGGCCGAGACTGTTCCCACGTTCTCTTGATACCTTCTCTTACACACACACACACACACACACACGCACACACGCACACACGCACACACACACACACTTTTTACTAAATGCTATTTATGTGGTTTAATGGAACTTTCAGAGTAATTTTTAACGACTGAAATAGGAATGGGGCACCTGGTTTCCAGATACCCAGTGTTATCTCTAAAAGCACGATTAAAAAAAAATTGTACAGTTCTTACTTTAGTGTTAATAACAGTAATAGGAATCGTATCTATAGCACAGTTGGTTTTTAAATCTTTTTCTAACAAGTCATTTTCTGTGGGATAATTAGAGAAAGTGTCACAGTGTATTTTTTCAGGGTGTGTTTTTATTGCATCGTTTTTATCTCCCTAATAGTTCTGCAAGTATAGTACGTCCTGTCCTCCTAGCCACTCTAGACTGGGATTACGCGTTATATAAGTATATGAGCAAAGTGATATCATGCCAGGAATGTGGGCTCTAACTGGGGTCAGGCCAAACTGGATTTAAATTCCAGCTCAGCCACTAACTAGCTCAGTTTCTTGGAAAACTTACTTAATCTCTCTCTCTGTGCCTCAGTTTCCTCATCTGTAAAATACTTAGAATAATACATATTTTCTAAGATGGTGACGATTAGAAGCAATATAGATAAAACGTCTGCCACTAAGTTTTGATGATCCTTTGAAGATGAGAAATTGGTTGATTTGACAGTAAACTAGTTGAGTACCCTTGTACAGAGACTGAAACACAGATGTCTTGATTCCCAGCTTTAAACTTTAACATTGTGCTAAGATTTTTACTGTAATGTTAGTAAAGTAGAAGAAAATAATTCAACATTAGAAATTTGAATCATTTTATTTAAACTTAGTGAATTATTAAGATGAAAGTAGCAGTAACTTGGAATTTTGTATCAATGAGTATTTACAAAATTATCAGAACTGACTTCTGTTAATATTTACTGTAGTATACAAATAAATATTTTGCTTTCTTTAAAACTTTTGCGTTTTGAAATAAAATAAAATAAAATCACTAAGTAGTTAGATGAGATGGACATTTCTTAAATAGTTCTCATATGTAATTCTGATTTCAAATTGCTTGACAGTCTGCTGCAACTTAATGTGGTTAAAAGGGCACTGAAACCTAAGGGCATTCAAGTGAAATCCCAGCTCTGATTGGAGGCGTAATTTTGAGTCCAGATCCTTTACTTGAAGAACCAAAAGATTCAGATTAGATGATCTGTAAGAGCCTGTTCAACTCCAAAATTCTATGACTTCCAACTTAAATATGTTTTTTTAAAAATGTGTGTTCAAATTGTATCACCTTTGAAACAAGAGGAAATGAAAGTTAAGAATAATTGGGAATTTTGTACCAACATTGACATATGGTTGTGCAGAAAGAAGACACATATTTTTTTTTAACATTTTGGGTGTTAAATCTGTAGAGAAACAGTTCTGAACTGGGTTTATAGTTATTAGAAAAACCTCGAGAAATTTCCCCAAATGTACATACTTGTTTCCGCTTGTTCTCCACCCTTTGTTGATCGCTAGTTTAGATTAAAATATGCTGAGGGTTATTAAAAGTAAGTGGTTGCTGGAACTACAGGCACGCACTACCATGCCTGGCTAATTTTTGTTTTATTGTAGAGATGAGGTCTTGCCAAGTTGCCCAGGTGGGTCTTGAACCCGCGGGCTCAGGCAATCCACTCACCTCAGCCTCCCAAGGTGCGGGATTACAGGCTGAGCCACCGAGCCCAGCTCCTCCTTTTTATTTTAAAGACAGCATCTTGCTCTGTTGCCCAGGCTGAAATGCAGATTATAGCTCACTGCAGTCTCGAGATCTTGGCGCAAGTGATTCTTCCACCTCAGCCTTCCTAGTAACTGGTACTACGGGCATGTGCCACCAAGCCCAGCTATTTTTAAATTTTTTTGTAGAGAGACACGGTCTCCCCTGTGTGGCCCAGACTGGTCTTGAACTTCTGGCCTTAAGCAATCTGCCTGCCTCAGCCTCCCAAAATGCTGGGATTACTGTACAAGAGTGAGCACCTTGTAGCCCAGCTTTTCTTTTCTTTGCCTTATTATTCTTTAAGGCACTACCCTCCATTACTTAATCCTGATTATTTGCTGTTGTTCTAATTTCTGATAATAAATGTATTTTTACTTATGCTTTTACTTCTGTATAAATTGAAATCTTAGATTTAAGATTTTTAAAATTAAATTTCTCATCTGCCTTTAGTGATCTTTAAGAGTCAAGGAAGACTAAGTTGCTCTCTAGAAATGATTAGGCATTTTATGTTAAGAAGTTTGACGATTTTAATATTCGAATTGATTTTAGTTACTTAGAAGCAGACTTGGAAATTAAGGTTTGTGGTGTTCGTTTTTTAACTTGTTTCTCAGGTAATTTCAGTACTTAGATCAAGGGATCACAACGTAAATGGCTGGCTGGAATGTTTTGCATGGTCCAAAACTGGGAATGGTTTTCCAGATGAACATTTGCGATCAATTTGATGATAGAGAGCACTAACTTTGAAACCCAATTATTTGCAATGTTATTTCCACTAGTAGACCCACACTATCAAAAAATTGTACACATTATTTTATTTTGAATTTTGGCAATAAAAATGGGTGCAAATTTGGTTCCTCTCTTGTTACATAAGAACTTATGTATATAGTATCCTTGACTTTGCCTCTTGGACTGCAAAACCTGAAATATTTACTTTCTGACCCTTGACAGAAAAGAATTCCTGCTCTTGACTTAGAGTTTTAAAGAATCATACTGGCAAATTTAGCATTTGCTACAAAAATACCTGTGTTTAATTTACACATTCTGGTCCTCAGTAATCATTCAAGGTAGTTGTAGTTGTAATGATCCCTGGTAATTGCTTATGTCTTCCTGTCCTTTGTACAGACTTAGTAGATATAAAATACTTTAGCAAAACTTACCGTTAATTTTGGTTCAGGTAACATCATTATTCTTTTCTTGGTCACAGTCAGATAAGATGCAAGCAGTGTAAACAAAGTTGCTTTCGAAAGTTTTACTTGGGGGTGTTCATTAGAGCCTCAAGAAGAAACTCCAGATAAATTCTTTAATATGGAATAATTTGTTCAAGGGGGTACTTGAAATATCATTTTTACCTTTACCTTATTACTCAGCATTTTGTTAAGTGATCTGTTTAGGTCTTATATTGATTTTCTTTTAGACAAATTTACATTCAAAATGGAAGTTTTCCAGTTCTCCTTCTATACAGTGTAAAAAAAAAAATGCATGTCCTTTAAATTCCTCCTTTCCCACCGCATTGAATTCCATCTGTTTCTTAGGAGTAGGATGTATTTTTAGAATTACCAAGAAGAAATGCCAATTTGATTTAGGCTAACAGTTACAGTGGTAGCAAAACAAAACAGAAATACGATAACTCTTAAGCTGATCTACTCACCTGTAACTGTTCTATTCTGCCTCTGGTTCATTGCCTTGGATTTAAGCTAATGAGCAAGTCTCTACACTATCATTGTATTCTGCACTTCGCCTTCTGTGCTTTTGACATTTATTTATTTGTTTGTTTATTTATTTATTTATTTATTTGAGTTGGAGTCTCACTCTGTCACCCAGACTGGAGTGCAGTGGCCGCTCCCGGCCACTGCAGCCTGGACCTGCTGGACTCCGGCGATCTTTCCACCTCAGCCTTCCAAGTAGCCGTAACTACAGGCTTGTACTACCACGCCTGGCTAGTTTTTGATTTATTGTAGAGATGAAGTCTTGCCAAGTTGCCCGGGCGGGTCTCAAACCCGCGAGCTCAGGCAATCCACTCACCTCGGCCTCCCAAAGTACTGGTATTACAGGCTAAGCCACCGAGGCTTTTGACATTTAATAAGCATTAATTTTCTAAAATAAGAAAACTGTAGCTCCTCTTCTACTTGATAGCCTATTTTCTTTCTAAGATAAAAACTGTACTTTTATGTGAACTTTGTTTTTTGAGAGCTGATAGGTTGTTACACCCAAAAGATTTTATTATAATCTGCACATTAGGTCAGGGTGCCCTTGAATTTTAGCTGACACAGGATCTTGTGGTTATTTGATGGTCAAAACTCATATACTGAGTTAAATTTATCAAATATTTTAACCAACATTGGGCATTTTCTATACAGAGTTCATCTCTAGGCATAGTATTAGAAGGAATTTGGGGACAAGACCTCCTTTCCCTGACCTCCACCCCCCCCTTTATTTTTAGAGGTGGGACAGGGAATA